ATCAAGGTCACCCCCAGCGAACATCCACCTTTTTAAGGTTACCCCCTCCATATTTTTCAAGGTTAACCCCCCCTTACCTAAGACAGACACGCACTCACATACTCTCAAAGTCACACAGACATGCACTCACACATGTTTGTCTAGAAACGGCATAGTATAACTACTCAGAGGGGTAAAAATTGTAAAAATTTAGAGGTTTTTTGTCTAGTTTTTTAGACAAAGAATCGAATGGTTTTTGGGTTTTAAAATCGGTTGAGTAGGTTTTGAGAAAAGTTTTCTTGTTTTCAAAAACGTGTTTTCGATAAAAAATCGTTAAAGTTTTCGTGACGTATTCTGTAACTCTTTTTTTTCTTTTGCATATTTCTTCAAAAAGGCAGAGTAATTTTATCATACTAAACATTTGAAAGCGAAATAAATAGAATAATCGAATTCTTTTTAAATAATTGACCAGAAATCCTCTTAGAAGTTTTTAGGTAATTTATTACAAAAAATTGTAAAAGATATTCTAAACTCTTTAATGTAGGAGAGACTGGGGCTAAACCGGACAAGCCAAATATTTCCGAAACCATTAAGAATTTCAAATAGGTAATGTTAATAACCAGTGAACGCGCTATTTCGTGAAGCATATATTGCATGAGGTTTTAGGGGGATGCCATTTTTCCTGTAATAATAGTTGCCGTTTCTTAAGTCCACTATTATTCAGCGGCTCCGGTTAGACGGTATTTACTCGAGTATAAAGGAAGAAAAGATATATCGTAATAGGTGTAAAATTTCAATAAAACACTTTTTTATACAGTTAAAATAATATATGGTTTATTATTAATAATTGTGTAACTGTTTTAAACAAACTGACATTCACGATTTTATATGTTTGTTATTAATTACAAATTAATAATGATAATCTATTTTTATGCGCAATATTATGCAAATCAAGAAATCTGTGTATTTGTATAGAATGTGTAGTATGTTTGGACAATATTAAGTCAACTCACCAGAACAATTTTATTACCTTTAAACTTATTTCAGAAAAGTATCAGATTACTTCCTCCGACGAAGCATTTAATATACACCTGTTTGAGATTAATATTCCAGTATCCCAATTTATTTCCTTGGTCGCCTTCTTATTCAGATGTCACTTTTATATATTTATATTATTTGAAAATTCCACAATGAAAATAAATTCCTTTTTTTTTATTCACTGATTTTATATGATTGAACAAATATTTAAAAATCGGGGTCACCGAACTTAAATTTTTATTCAATTGATTTATTTTAACTTCACTTTACTTTTTAAATAATTACTTTTATATCAACTTAATCACGCCAAATAATATAGAAACCGAACTCAAATATCTTAATTCAAGAAAATACAATATTCTTAAAAAACCTTATGAAAAATATATATATATATATATATATATATATATATGATTGAAAATAAAACTCTCAATTCCCGAGAGCAACAAAGTAAATATACACAACTTTGTTGCGGGAGGAACCAAGTCAAACTCAATCGTTAAATCAGTCTAAATCATGGACGCACCTTAAAATTTCATAAAAATGTTAATAGTGGGGAGGCTGTTGCTCACAGCTCATTGAACTTCTTGTTGCGAGGCAAGCTTTTTGCAAGCTTGCAAATTCCTTTAATGGCATGGCATGAGTTCAATACTTTCTCACCACAGTAGTTTCACTTGTATGTGTCTTTTATTTAAAATATTTGACATCAATACATCTGAGTTTTTCGATGAAAAACAAGCTCTTTGGAAACTGTAATGAAATTCATTTTGAAATATGGGTATTGTCCGTGACTTTCGCAATAATTTTATAAAATTGACATATCCAAATAATAATGAAACCAAGGAAGTTTAATGAGAGTTACTAATTTAATAGAATTGAAATTAATAATCTTGCGACGATGATAGGTTGTTTTGTTTGCCCTTTTAGTGTTTGTTGTATATGTGTTCTTAACCTAATTACAAGATTCCCAATTTTAATGAGGCTATATAATATAAATAATTTTTAATTAATAAAAAAATTAAAAATAGTTACGAAGTCATACGTAACAAATACCCCCCTTTTTTCTGGCTGACGTCCCTTGGCAGCTTTATGTTGAACATATAATTTTGTGAGATTTACATATAATCCTCCTTTCAATGGTTTTACAATATTTAAGTTGTTGGTTTTGCTGAAAATAATGGTTTTTAAACAGAGGCAAACTTTTAGTTGTAATTTTATCTCAAAAATTCGTTTCCTCTCTTTTTTGTTTTAGGAAGATTTTTAAATAAATGAAGTTTGCTTTTGTTTTATTAATAATAATAATAATAATAGTCGGAAATTTTTCGTTGTTTAATGACAAGTAATTTTGTATTTTAAGTCATTAAGATCGAGCATGGGAAAAAAATGCGCTTGAATATGTGATTTTAAACTTGCTTTTTTTTTTTTTTAAATTGAGTTACTGAAAACCTAAAACTTACTTTAATTACTGATATATTATTGCATTTTTTACCAGGCTAGATTTTATTTGTCTTGTTTCGGTGTACAATGATGTTTCTTTCTACAAAAAAATTAAATAATTTAATTGGTGATGTCTGATTTTTTTTTTAAATGTTAAAAAAAAATATTATAAATTATTATTCATGCTACAATTATTTCGGATTTTAAACGTATAATACATAAAATAGATCTTTTATAATGAAATGATTTCATAATGTCAAAAATTGAATTTACTGTAACAATTTGTTTAAATTTTAATACAATTTTTAATTCGTCTTTTGTTTATAAAGAATTGTTCATCTTCTGAAAATATTTTCTACTTTTTAAAGAAATGTGTTGCGTCGATTACAAAGTTTTATTTGTTATTTGATCTATTATTTTTATATTTTAGACAACAACAAGGTTACAAATTATTTTATGCCTTTTTTACTTTGTTTATATTGAGTAATCTGGAATTGGGTACATCTACATGAAATGATTTTTACAAAACTACCTATGTGTCACTAATTTTTAGATTTAGTGTGATAAAAATGAATATTTATGAAATTTTAAATAAGTTTATAAGAAACGAAAATCTAAAAATTTTTCGATGATTTGTGTTGGTTCAGAATATTGCAAAAAAAAATTTTGTTAAAGAAATAATGTTAATTTTTATTGGCTGACATTGTTTCTTTAATATAATTTTCGCAGAAAGTTATTTAAAGAGAAAAAAAAATATAAACAAAATTAATAAAATTTATTCATATATGGTGTATAAAAAAATTGAAAATTTTTGATTTTCTACCCCTATACCCCCCTTTTTATGCGCTGTCGTCCCTTGACAGCTTTATAGGTTGACTATAAGAAAAACTTCTTAAATAGAATCAAATTTTAATTAAGCTTTGTTGAACGGTTTTATCTTTAACTTTCCTTTTTAGGAGGATTTTATTGTAAATAAAAATAATTTGCTTTCATTTAATTTTTCTTATAGTGTACTTGTTACATTTTATGCGAAGAATTTGCTTACGATAAATGTAAATTAAGAACTTTTTTTTTTATGAAGAATTATTTTGTTACAAATTTATGTATTTAATAATGTTGTAATATTTAAACATTTCTTTTTTTTTTATTTAAAAATTTTAAATAGAATTTGAGTTTTCGAAATTTTAGTTTAATAAAATGCTGAGATTGCTTTTATTGTTTTATGTGTTATAACTTTGCTTCTTAGACATTGTGTATTTTTTAATTATTTATTTCGTTAACATATTATTTTAAATTTATCAGCTATATTTTTTAGAGAACGAGAAATAATAAGAAATATATATTTTCCATTTAAATTACATAAAAGTGAATGAGACATTTTAATTGTTTATTCAGGCATTGGTTTCAATGTTTATATCCTACTGACCTAGTCACCTGAAGTGTAACCTGATACGGTGTCGCGTAACTAAGTTCGTACATCTAATTTTAAGCATTTTCTGTATATTTTGTTTCAAATATTTATTTTTGTATTTATGAATAGTACTGCGATAGAACTTTTTAATAAAATCAATTCATGAGTTAACGTTATTTTTTGTATATAATAATTAAGTATTAAAAACATTATAGCCTGGATATAAAAAAATTAAACTTTGCGAAAATTTCAAATTGAAATCCTTGAAAATCCAAATTTCTGTTATACTTTTAGACGATAGCTCTACAGAATCATTTCTTTAAAAAAAATTCAATTAAAAAAAAATTGAATTATTTTAAATCTCTTTGATTTCCATATTTATTTAACAGATTTTTTTAATGATTGGAATTTTGTAAAATTTAACTATAAACTCTAGTTATAAAAAAAATCTTGTCTTTTTTTTTTAATAACTTTTGAAAGAAGTTACCTACTTTAGAAACGGTTCATAGCTAAAATTGAGTAAAATAAAAGATGGAAATGATAAAAATAATTTGAAGGATTCACAATGGCAATCTTTTCATAATATAAAATAAAAATTCTACGACTAGGTTGACTGTAACTATTGTGAATTCTTAGATTTTTAAAACATTTGTATGAACCTTTTTTTTTTTTAAATTTACATTTCTAAAAAAAAATAGTAAAGTAGAGTGGGACGAAAAATATCTGAAGTTTATACAACAATTATTAAATCGATTTATCCAATTAACAAATAAATTAAAAAAACTATTTTGTTTACTTATTTCAAGTATATATATATAGAAAAATATTTAAGAAAGAAAGAAAAGAGAAGGAAAAAAAATTATAGTAATATACTTATTTATTTATATATGTAATTAAGAAAAAAAAGGAAAGAAAAAAAATGAGTGAAAAAAAAATGGAGATGTAATTAGATCGTGTGCGTCCGGTTTTGGTTTTCCTTTTTTTTGTTCTCACGGTTAAAATTTGCAACTTTGCAAATGTGTTTTGTTGAAATATATGTGCTTTTTGTAATATTTCTCAGTTTCTGTTCGTCAGTTATTGTGATCTGTTTTACGTTTTGTTGATTCGTGAAGTTGAAAAAAAACGAGAAAAAAAAATGGCCGGTGTATATAATTTAGATGTTTTGCGTACTGCTCTGGATCTTGTGAGCAATAGTGTTGATAGTGTCGATGGTCTTCTTGCATATTTGAAGACAAAATACCTGGCCGAGGAGGATAAAAAATTAAATCCGGTGTCTTGGGGTACGTATTTGTTTATATTCGTTTTTTTTATCATGTATTATACTAAAATTTGCATGAAAAGGATTGCAGATTTTCATCTGTTTGTGTTTTTAAAGTGTTGCGTTTTTTATTCAATTTGAAAATATTAAAGTTTCAGTAAATTTTGCTGTTTTTGAATACAGGCGTTTTAAATGTTCTATAATGAGAGTGTAATATTTGTTATAATTTTTTTTGAAATTTAATAAATTTTAAAAATTAATAGTGTTAAACTTGATCTTTTATGTTAGTGTTATTTATGTTACAATAGTGTCATTTTTATTTTGATGTTTTCTTTTATTGGTTTTATTCATGTATTTGTTTTTATATTTTTGTCATGTTTTAATTTTGGAACTAAAATTATGTAAAAAAAAAATTGTGTATATAGAAAATAAAAAAATTAATTAAAAAAAATTTTAGGCGAGGTGTGTTCTTTTCCGATTGGGTCAATGCTGCGTCTCGGGTGGATCCTAATGGTCTCTGGCCTTGCGAGACCGCATTGTCAGAAAGTCGGAATTATGACTGTGAAAAAGCGGAAAGGGTACAGGAGTACCTCTGGTGTTGGGGAGAGCGACGATATAAAGTCCGTTATTTTTGGTGCCCTTCAGATTTTTTGATGCCGACTGTGTGTAATGAGTCGGAGGATGAGCTGATTGAGGAAATATTTGGATGCTTAGGCGTCAACGTGCGTACACGGTGAGCAAATTTAAAAAAAAATAATTACCTAAAAAAAATGAATTGGGAATAAAACTTTTTTGTGTGTTTTTATTTTAGATCCTTTTCGAGCTTGCCTGTTTTGCCCATTGTACGTGGTTTCCGACCAAAAAATCCAATTTTTGAATTGGTTTATGTTCAGCGATACAGGAGAGATTGGGAGGAGTTAATATTGACTTATTCCGGTTGGGAACTTGTAAGTTTTTTTATGTACTTTTGTTTAATTATATATAACTATTTTCTTTTTATATATTTAATTTGTTTTTATAATTTGTTCCGTTTTACAAAAACATTTTAATTTGTTATTAATTCATTGTTGTTGTTTTTTATTTGTTTCAGCGCTGGAAGTTAAATGTGTCATATGTGTGGTTTTCCCAGTGAGTTCAGCTCGAATTGTCTGTTGGTGGTACCAGAGAAAAAAAAATTTTCTTTTTTTTTTAAATTTGAGGGTTAATATTTAGAAATGTTTTTTTTTTATTAAATTGAATTTTGTTAGGATAAAATTTAGACTAATTTTTTTTCAAATTTTGATCATTAAATTTTAATTGACAGAAAGTATAAAAATTGACTTGTTTCTTTTATATCATTTTTAGTATTGTTAAAAATTTTTTTTTTTTAATATTGGTGTTTAGTTACCTTTTATGTATTGTTGTGTATTAAAACGTACAACAACAAAAAAATATATGTATATATAAAAAAATGGTGTTTATGTTTTCTTTATTATCCTCCTTTTTTCAATGAAAAAAAATTATTCTGGAAGGAAAATGTAGTTTAGTTTTCTTGAAATAAAAGTAACAATTGTAATCAATTAAATAATTTAAAAAAAACGATCAATAATTGTTTGATTAATAATTTTGTAATTAACAAATTTTTGAATTTTTTTTTTATTATTATATATTATTTTATATTATATGTTATGTATTAAAATTTTTTTTGAATGTAAAAATAATATGAAATTTTTTGTTTGTGTTATTTTTTATGTTGTTATTATTTGATTTGTTTTTTTGCTGTTTAAATTCTATTTAATAAAATTATTATTATTTTAAAGAGAAAAAAAAACTATTATAACAAAAAATGCTTTACATTAATTGTATGCATTTATTGTTTAAAAAAAATTGTTAGTATATCTATATACTGGCTACTATATATCTAGATATACCAACTGTTTGATTCCTTTCGTTTTTCTTTCTCTCGTTCATCATATTTGTAGGTGCTCCGCTTGTTTCGTTTTTATCACGAGACAATGCTTTGCTCCGTACACCTTTACTCCACTTCCTTCTATTCGTTTGGCTCCCCGCTAGTCAGCTACCGCCATGAAGCAATGCATGAACCTATGCTTCTGTCTCTTTCTATTTTACTTTTCTCGGCTCTCCGGCGTTTCACCACTACTTCAGAGTACCTACAAGCTGAGTATTCTTATTCCTAATGAATTTTAATTTATGCCTATCTAATAGAATATATATCAAAAATTTTATTTATATTGTTAATTTTTTGTTATGGTGATTACTTCCTAACAAGCGAAATTCAAATAAATTAACTCATATAACCCTTATAATAATTAATAATAATTATAATAATTAACCCCTTATAATGTTCACAAAATTCTATTTAATTTTTCTATCTCATTTAATTAAGTAATAAGTATAATAAGCTATTATGTATTTTTTTTATTATTATTTACTGTACCCATATTTTAAATTAAATGATTTACCCATGTTTATTATATAGTTCGTTTATGATATTTAAAGGCCAGCAAAAAAAAAGCTTTCCTACACTTAACCAATACCCAACCTATTGAAAAGAACTTTTGTTCCTACTATTTTAGGTATTGTACATTGTAGTAACTCATTTTCTTGGAATCTGCAAACTGCTTCCTTTTTCCAATTTGTGTCGAGTAAAAATTTAATCCAAAAGTATTTTTGATGTGTTCCTAATAATTTCTTGTGTATTGAGATATAATATTTCACCATTTCTGAAATTTCTTGATTTAGGCTTTTAAATGAAAAATTCGTATTTGTGACGAATTCTTTAACTTCAGCGTAAGTATTTGTCGAAATGATTACGTCCGCATTTGATACTTGATCATTCCATTCGTCTTTTTTTTCTTCTTTATTTTCCATACTTAATTGTTCCGGAGATATAAATTTGATCTTTCCAGGGGGTTTTCCTTTTCTTAGTTCTGTCATTGGGCTGTCCGAATTCATACGTTCTATTAGTGAATATGAATTCTCCACGATTGCGATATCCTCATTATTAGTCTGTGTATTATCTAAAAGTTTTTTACTTTTCTTAATAATTTTTTCGTTACTTTCCTGATCTGATTTTATCTCATTTAGTCCACGGTTAATTTTAGATTTTGAAATATCATTGTCTTCTTTTAAAATGTCGTTAATAGCACAAGTATAGTTTTCTAATTCGTCTTCTTCCTTTAAATCTATTGTAAAGTTGCTATCTTCCGAACCAAGATTTTGTAAAGTGTCCTCCTCCATTTTTCCATCGTCTTCAAACATTTCATTGTCCCAAACAATTGTTATTTCTTTCTCAGAAAGTTCTTCAATGATGTTAATATCTTCTTCGTCATCGGAATTATTTATAATAGGATTCGTATACACCGCTATTTGTTCTTCTTCCACTGTCTTTTTTATACTGTGAGTGGTAATTTTGTCGGTGGATTCTTCACTTTCTGTTGCAAGTCGTAGTTCACTTATAGAAGGTGAGATGTTATGATCCCATTGTTCTTTATCCTTTTCAAGGTTCCTGTTTGGTTGCGAATCGCTGAATATAACGGGTGGTATTATGAAATCATCAACACGTTCTCTATTAAATTTGCGTTTGTTTATAGAATAATCTCTTCTATAACAATCATTGTTGAAAGATGGTAGCTGTCGATTGCATAATCTTCTGTAAATTTCCTGTTGTTCGTTGTATCTTCTATCTCTTTCACTGAGATGAAAGTTCTGTTCATCGTTTGCATGTGTGTACTTTCTGTAATTAGTGTTATAATCTTGAAAGTACCGATCCCTGTCGTTAAAATTGTTTCTTTCATAGCCTTGTGATGTCATGTCTAAATTTTTCCAATGTTCTTCAAAATGCATGTTCCTATTTTGGTTATTAAATTCATTACGGTCATATGTCCTTTCATCAAATTGTTCACCTTGTTGATGGTTCTGTATTTGCCATTGTTAGTCATTTGGTTCAAGATAATAATTCGGTGAATGTGGTTCATACATGTTAAATTGGTTACTTGCATTCTGGTAGTTGTATTGATCTTCATAATGAACATCATCATCAAAATAATCAGTATCTCGATCATAATTATTGTCTTCCATCCTGTGTGTATCTTGCTTAATGTTATAATTATCTTGACATTGATTTGGATGCCATTGATCTGTAAAATTATTTTTTCGATCTTCTGCTTCAGAATAATATCCCTCCGTTTTCCATCTTTCTATGTGTCCTCTTTGTACACGGTGGTCTTCAAGCACTTTTAGGTTTACCTAAAATGAGTCAAAATTGTGCTAAAGCAGTTTTATCTGGAATCATCCCAAGATTCCAAATTTTCATTTCCGAAAATCGTAGCTGATTCTTTTTTCGAAAAAAACAGATATAGAGTAATGTCACCTTGAGTAGGCCGCCTACGCTTTTTTTCTAAAAAATTCTTTATGAAAGCAAATTAATCGGAGGTTTCTATTTCAAGCTTTAGTTTAAATCCCTAGAAAAGTGTTTATGCCATAATAGCTTTGATTTTTTTTATTGGAAAAAACAATTTACTTTTAAAAAAAGCTAATTTTTAAGGAATGAAAAAAGTGTAACCTTGAGTGGTCCACTCCTAAAAAATTGTAAAAGTTATTCTAAATTCTTTAATGTATTTAATATTTCTGATATATTGAAACAAAATTTATGCTTATGCAGCTTCAGACCATGTATGTGTCGCAATGTTTACAAGTGAAACCATTTTTAATAATTTTGTCACATATCACAAAAAAATTAATAAAGAACATAAATCATAGTTTCAAACTAATTTATTGTCAATTTATATCTAAAAAATGTTAAACTGAAATTAAAAATGGAAAAAACAGGCAGTCCACTCATGGTGACAAACAACTTTTTATGGCAGACACCAAAATTTTTTTTTTAGTCAAAATTATCACTTAATTAAACTAAGACAATCAATTTCAATGTCCAAAGTAGTAGGAAAAAAATAAGTTACCTTTTAAAACTTAAATTTTACACTACTTTTACACTTCCAAATCACTTTACTCATTGAAATAGCGACTTCTCTTTTGGTTTGTGTTCTCAAAAATGCGTTACATCAAACGGTAACGTATATGATTATTGCGGAACTTAATTTCTTACGGTTTCTAGGTGCGGTGCTGCTATTCGCACTATTTATTTCACGTTTCCGCTGTCAGATAACTTAAAAGCTCAGGCGGTCCACTCAAGGTGACATTATCCCTATGGGAAATTCCACGTGAGATTTTAGTCGACAGTGGGATTTTTTTACAATTAACTTTTTAAAACTGTCTACAGCGTAGACCCTTTAATTTAAAACAAAGAACACAAATAGATTAAAATTTATACGCTGCAGACAGTTCTAAAAAGTTAATTGTAAAAATATCCCATGTGATGCTTGCAAGTGATTTTTGAAAATGTTTTAAAACTCATTTAACACATAAGGCCCATTTTAGGACTTTTGGAAACTCTCCTCTATATTATAAGGTATAAATAAATTTAAAAAAAATTTTTTTAAATCTGACCCAAAGTTAAAGACAATTAATTTGTTTATAAAAAAAATTTTTGTTTACATTTCTTAAAACTCGAAAGAAAACTAAAACTTTCATTCTTTGACAACTTTTTCCTAAACTCAATATTTTCGGAATTATAGCTACTGAATATAAGTCTACAATTACAAGTCAAAAATTTCGAAAATTCATAACTCGAAAATTTGTACAATTAAACAAAAATAAAAAAATACGTATCTGTTTTTTCGATACAGAATAGAAAAAATATATTTTTTGGCCGATTTTAAGATGTGGACTTAAATATCACGTGGAATTGCCCATATACAGTAACGTCCGAAATTGTCAGTCCACCCATTTTCAAAGGAATGACAAACATTTTTTAACATAAAATTCATGAAAAGTAAAATTTTTTTTGGTTTATATTTTGAAAGACGATAAAATTTTGAAAAGAATAAGACCTTACAGAAGTCATTTGGCCAAAATTTGTAGAAGATATTCTTAAAAATCGTCATTTTCAATGTTTTACAAAAATTTGAATAACTTCTAAAATAATGAACGCTTTTTAATAATCTTAGGCTTATTTTAAAGACCATTTTCTACAGAATAAGAATTACTTATAGGCATTAACCTGTAATTTTTAACTTGGAATAAGCATGACGTCAAAGTTGGACAAAAAAATTCAAAAAATTTGAAATAATA